ATCCCCTGAAAATAAGACCTAGCACATCTTTGGGAGCAAAAACTAATATGACACTGTCTTATTTTCGGGTAAACAGGGTAGTTATTTATTCTAGCACCATTTGAAGTAACAAAGCATTGTAAATGATTCATGTACCGCCCCCACCAAAATTAGGGATGATCCATTCACTGTAACGAATAATTGGCTACCCAAATGAGGGTACAGTTAATAATGGAATACTATCCAGTTGTAAATAAGCAGTGAGGCTTGTTATATACTGATCTAAAGTGATTTCCAAGATATATCAAATGCAAAAAGTACATGCAGAACTATGTCTAATGCCTCCTAATACCTGTGCTTTAAAAAATGGAATATGAATAAATATTACTCTTGAATATATACATAAAAATCTCTCTGAAAAGGTTTATTTAATGTAAAACCATTTACCTCCAGGGAGAGACACTGGGTGGCTGGGGAACAGGAGTAAGAGGGAAACTTCACAGTGGACCCTAAACATAGCTGTCAAGGAAGGACATCAGGACTATTGTGTTAGAAGTCGATGCTTGTCATCCCAGTTAGTGCAGGCTAGGTTGACCCTACACGTGTAAACTATTTTACAAAACTATTTAAAGTACCACAGTGAGACTGACATACACCCAGTAAAGGCATGAAAAAAGTTCCCTCCTCCTTCCCTCTTTATTTAAAATAGCTACTTAAAACATTTCATTGCTACTACCTTGAAAATAAATTAAGAATCTGGTAACAAAGACGATCCCTATAATTTAGATTACTTCCAGAAAACATAAGAATTGCCTTACTTTTCGGTTTTTATTGCTGATCTTAATGACTGCATTGCACTACTGCTAGTGACAAAGTAAGAGTCAAAGTAGGATGCAACACGTCAAGTGCCTCACAAAGATTGCCAGTAGAATTAATGACAAAATATGAGTTGGGATCTCCCTCAGTTACAGGAACAGGGCCGTTTTCTGGCTAAGATGCTGAGCTTTTCTTGGCCAGCGATACTGTGAAAAGCGTGGTCCTGTGCAGCCAGGAACACGAGCGGAGAAGACCAATGAGCTGACTGTTAGCGTAAGGTTAACCACTGCCCCAGTCAGCAGACGCAGACCACACCCTGGGCCTGGATTTCTCCTGTCTCCAAAAGCTAGTCAGGAGCGATATCCACACTCATGAACTCGGTCAATTTCAAGGAGCAGAGCTGATGGTGTTAGAGCTGGTGTCAGGAAGTTTGGAAACCTGTACGTGTGCAAGTAAAAGAAGTAGGATTTACCTTTTCATCGAGTGTGAAACGGTGATAAATGCCCGCAGGAAGGGTTATCATGTCTCCTTTCTCCATGAAAATGCGGATCCACTTGTCCTCTTTATCTCTTACATCAAAATAACCACTCCCATCCAAGATATATCGAATTTCATCATCCAAATGTAAATGTTCCTCATAAAATATTTTAATCTGGAATAGGAGGAAAAGTTTTTTAAGCTTACTGGAGACCAATCATGCAAATTATCAGAGTTATACCCACTGGGCTAAGCTTTAAATATACCAGAACTGAGGTGAATGAAAATTGTCTCCTATAAAAATGAACATGGGCAGAAGCATCTTGGGAAATAAAGCAAGCCAAAAAAGAAAAAAAAAAGGAA